ATTGTGTTAAGCTTATGTTAAAACCACATCTATGAAATTATATTATAAAATGGTATCCGAGGCTATTGTAGGATAACCAATTAGAGTCTGAGGAAAAATTGTATTTGCTGTTCTCTAAATGCTTTGATCATCACGTTTCAACCCATTCGGAGTTGAATTTGACTAAAACCTGCAGTGCCACGATCACATCCGCTTACATATCTAAAAAGTATTTAAACTCTCTCCTCAATTTTATCACTACACCGCCAAGCAAGTACCTGCACGGACTATACTCGTTAAGAACACATGGGGGAAAAATATCCTTTGCTATTCTTTGAAGTTTCAAATACATCTTTGCGAGACAAAAATGCGCTTTAGTAATATATTAACTCCAAAGTCTATATGCTCAATCTACAGTTAATGATCAATAAAGTAATGAACCACGTGGCGATTACAACGATTAAATAGACAGATTTCCCACGTGCGATGACAGTTTTTGAGACAAACTCAATTAAGCTGCTAAAAATGCTTACTAACCTACCCTTCCATGAGCCAAAGGTGGAATACGTCCATTGACAAGCACAACGCACATATTCTGCTCATAAGAACTTCGTAAATTAAGCCACACTTTTAGCAGCCCCATAGGGATGCCTAGCATGCACTGTCATTTCCCCACTACGTGCGTAAAATAAAAAGGGAGCCATTGTGTTGCCAGCGGAAGCCGAAACCCCACACAAACGTACAGCAAAGACAAAGATCCCCCGTATAGCTTGAACAGACTGTTGGGGCAAGTGCTGTGTGTGAGCACCTATGAAGGTCGACACGGCACACGAGGGGGTGGGTGGCCAACACCACGCCCGGCCGCCTTTGTCTCCCCAGTGGTGATGTTTCCACACTGCACCAGGTACTAATTTGAGGCTGAGTCTACCTAGGGGAGGCCCATGACCGGTTCAGATAATCTATGTTGACCGTGAGCGGGAATCGAACTCGGGTTTTCGGGCTGGTAGCGCAGCGCGCTAACCACTACACTACCGCTCCCCACTGCACACACACACACACACCCCCATGCAGATGGATGAATGGGTGGGTAATTTAAGGGGCATCCCACTCCGTCACCAAAGCTAAAGAGCCTTCTCATCTTTTAAGAGATACCGGGCCATGTACCAAGATCACAGACACCAGAGGTCAAGTCTGGGAATGTATCTGTTCATTTAATTACTTCATTTGCGCGGTTCGATTTCCCACAAGATATGGTGTACAGCTATTATACCCTGCACTCAGGAGTGCACATCACACACAACACCAGTAATAAACCACTCCCTGGTGATCTCACAGATTATGTTAGGTGTTCGACACCAGGCTGTGGTGTCCAGTGTATCGATACACAGCCCTAAGGCCTTCTTAGTAGAAGACCGTGAACAGGGAGACAAGCGAAGGAATGTAGCACAATTTTTTTTCAGTCAATTATTTCAGCCATTGCCATAACCCCTCGTAGCCGTACAGCCACAAACACTCGAGATACACAATGGCTCGGCTGAGACTCTGGGCTATAAGGCCCAATGCCACGCTATTTTGCGTGTGTGTGTGTGCCTTAAAAATGCAGCAGGGCGTAATGGAGCGCGTTGATTATTTGGTAATGGATTTACTCGACGCAGCAGGAGTCCTCGTCAAACATCGGGATTTACCTGCATTACATTTCCTTGTTTTAAATATTTTTTTCCTCCCCCATAAATATTCATAACTTACGTGGCTATCTTATTCGTTTTGGTTTTGTAATGTTGCTACACATCGCTGATTATCCAAAACATTTATGAAAAATTTTGCTTTTCAAATTAAAAGTAATATTTGTAAAATTGAACGATTTGCTTTTTTATTACCATACCATCATGAAAGTTAATTAGCTAAAGAAAATATCTGCATACCACGTGTGTGTGTGTGTAATTAGTATGGGGAACAGGAACGCAATAGTTAGTGCACTGCACGACGAACCCGGCAACTTGAGTTCGATTCTCGCTCGAGGCCAACACCAGTTACGATTATTTGAACCGGTCATGGGCCTCCCCAAGGTCGACTCGGCCTCAAATGTGTACCTGGTGCGGTGCGTAAACATCGCCATTAAGGTAACAAAGGCAGCCGGGCATGGTGGTGATGCTCACCCACCACCCTCATGTGCTGTGCCGGCCTTCATAGGTGCTGCTCGCAAACAGCACTTGCCCCAACAGTCTGTTTAGGCTATACGCGGGGGGGGGGGGGGGGTTGTTTTTTGTAGACACAGCGTATGAGTTTAAATGTTTGCCATCATGGGTTGCAAACAGTTAACCGAAGCCTTGGTTGCAATGGGTAAAAACTAAAGCTTTTCAAACGAGTTCTCATGACCAACAATGAGGCAATGGATTCAAGAAGAATAACACTGTGGTGGTGGGTCATGAGAACTGAAATTTGAGAAACTCCCGAGTTAAAACAGAAAGCTAATGAAAGCTTAAATAATAAATATGACGTAAGAGACGTAGTAAATTATCGACGTGCATGCTTTCACTGAATAAAACACTGTTCTACCCAAATTAATGTAACAAAACGATTTCACGTTTTTTGCGGAAGGCCCCAGGTCACTTGTGGTTGGCACATTTGAAGTCAATTTGTTCAGAAAGTTGTCGTTCAATTAGCTGCATTGGCCAGAATGAATGTGTGTACTCTGGGAAATACCAGTGGTGGCTCATTTGGCTAATTGTGGGGAGTTTCATTCATTCCCCGTGTACCACGGTCGACACGCAAAATAACGTATAAGATAGAGGGAATATGACTGTTTTTCAATCTGTCGTTTTGCTGTTTCAAAAAATAAACAATGATAATTTGAATATTAAGCAACTCCACATCACCAAATGATCCAAATATCATTATAGCGATGCCTTCCCAGCATGCCTGAGCCACCATTGCATATGCAGGTGCTTCACTCGATGTTTTTGTGTTTAATTTGTATTCTCATATCACACGGCACACTGGATATAAATTAACAGCTTGGGTTTTTTTCTCTCTCAAACTCTCCAGTCTTGCCAGCCAGGTTACTGAGCTCAGCCATTGCACGTTTAACAAATCCTTCTCGTAGAGATATTCGACATCAAAGAAGCAAAATTCTAAGTTTCAAATGTTCCCACCATTTAACAGCAAGGATATCAACACGCTAAAACGTGCTTATAATCTGTCACCTTGACAAACGATTCAGTATCATATAAAAAAATATAATAAACAAACACGTTATTTTTCAGCCACAACCGTAACTCCCCCCCCCCCTACCATCTCTGAGAATCGTCTGAGGATTGGCTTAAAGGGCTGCAAGGTATGCAGCTGGAAGCTAAACAGAATTAAATGAGAAGATGTCTAAGGACATTTTAATAGCTGGTTTCGTTCTGAAGACACGGCTTTTATGTTAAAACCACTTATCAAGGATATATAAAAGGAAACCCATATACTGCCTGTAAAAAAATGTCCTGTTAAATCACACATGACAGTTGACATTTTGGATATATTTAACCTATGTACTCATTTAAAAAATAGTTTTCCAGTTTCAATGTGCACATACACGTGAAATTGTGTTTAAAAATCGAAATTCTTTAAATATTAAGATGTGATCTATTACATATATTGTTTCTCAACATAAGAATTTTTTTTGTCATTTTTTTACGCATAACTTAGGCATATTACCCACATGCATTATGTGCCTTATGAATCTATCGATAAACATAGATTATCATTAACAATGATAATTGCACTGATGGATGAAGGCCTTCCGAAGCCCTCGCCATCTCTCATGACCCTGCGATGTAATAATCTACTAAGCATATGAACCTGATTCATCATTCCACCTCCTTGTTGGATATACCCCTGGGATGCGTTGAATTCCTTTGCTGCCTCTCCATTACTATTCTTGACCATCATCATCATCCCTGCACGATGATGATGCAAGTTACCTTTGCAGCAATGAAGTTGCCGCTACCCAACCCAAACTATGCCTGGTCATCGCCTCTGCCTCCCCTGCCGCTCCAGTTGTATTTTTATTCTCGCCGTACAATGTGGTTTTTGTTCTTTTCCCTCTTCCCTTACCCTAATCCCCGTACCACCTCCTGACCCATAACTGACCTCAGTGCCCACATTACTCGCTTCTCAACGGCACCGCTGCCCATCTCTCTCCCGGGCCTCGTTTGTAGCCGTGGCTGTCCTGGAACTCCTCGCTTCTGCCGTGGCTGCCCCTGGGACTTGTTGATGAAATGGTCCGATGGTCCCGACTTCCCCAGATGTCCCAAGGGTTGATTGTTGATGCTGGGACCCCGTTGCTAGTCGCGGGCTATGCCGCTGTGTTGTTCTCCCCTTCTCCCTGCCATGTTATCCCTGTGCTAACCCCCCGCCACCACATCACCACATCATCATCACCACCACCAGCAGCAGCAGCAGCAGCACACAAAAAGGCTCTCAAACAGGTGACAGACAAAAATTTCCAAAATGGTCAGCTGAAGTGGTTAATGATGGATGCATTATTCAAAACTAATTACGTTGTCCGTGTTTTTGTTGCAAAGTTAACTAACATGTGAAAATGCTAAATCTTGTTTGTGTTTCACTCACGAATATTTACTACTCGTTTAAAATGCACACACCTGTAACTGTATCACAACTCGAATCGGAAAATGGCCAAATAACAGCAGTGCTGTGCATATTAAGTTATGCGGACCGATACCAAGTAAATAACCAGATAAAGAGCAATGACATCTCCCATTGCACAACCAGGAATCCTGTAAAAAAACAAATCTGAAGCGGTTGCCATCTATTCAGAACAGAAGACAAGGCAATACATTCGCACACGTAACACCAATGACAGCCAGATGACAAATCCTCATGGCTTTGAAAATAAAAAAAATTACGTATTGATTTGTGAGAGTTTTATCTTCATGCCAGTCGGTTAAACCGTGAAGCAAAGGAAACACATGCATTGCAAGATTTCATGACAGTGAATGAGGCATATTCAAGAGTACCTGATGGCAACTGGGCATCGAAGGATCTCTGCTGTATGATGAATAATGTCCTCGCTCTGATGCCTTACCTATGGATGCAAAAATAAGGGTAGGGAGAAACAAATACCATACACGTTAGTGTAACACGTCGGCTTTCACGACCAATATTTTCCACAAGAGGTTTTGCAGGGTTAGATCGCGTAAATGTGTGTCGTTAAATCCGCCACCACCAGACATGGCCAATAAGTAAGGTTTGTCTAATTCGTGACTAGTACAGCACATCGGTGTGTTGGAGAGTAAACCCACAACGCGCGTTAGCCGTATAAGTTTTACTTCACTGGCTTTCACATTCTCATCTGTCGTTATGATACAGATTCGGCATTGCATTGCACCGACGGTAATACAGCACGAAAAACAGCTTTCTTATGGCACCTGCTGTTCTCTGTAAGATAAACGTTTACAAACACACTGCACAGTTCATAAGCAGTCACCAATGTGTTGCCAATGTTTCTTTTTGAAGTTTATAAATATTTTTAATATATAATGAACAATTTAAACATCACTGTGAATGTAACAATAAAAATGGAAGGATTCTATGAAATTGTAAAAGGTTCGTTTTAGAGTCTCTTGCTTAAAAACAACACGCAACGACATGCTTTCAAGTCCAATGCTCTTAAATGCTGTAAATTTCCCTCCACAAGGATAACATTCATGTTTACTGATTTTCAATACAAAAAAACTGAAAGTATACGTCTTCGTTTTAAAATGTTAAATGGCCTAGAAAATACTCAGATGAATAATCACCATTGCCTGCTGGTTGCATGCTTTTAAGTCATTAACCAAGATCACCCCACTTTTATCCAATGTTCTGAGCAGACAAGCTTTGTATTTCAAGAAATCATTATGCCTACACGTGTATGCACCTGTACTTGACTGAACTGGTGTAGTCAGCATTCATCCTTGCTCAAGATCAAAGAGTTGAAACCCAGGTCAAATGGTTATTTTACTATCAATGGATATAACTATGCAAACCGGATATAACTACCTCGGAGTATCAGAGGAGGTGGGGGATGGACACATCATCAAGTCTTTGCGATCAACGTTAGACCTGACTAAGGCAACATGTTGAAAATCTGTTGAGTGCAACATCTCATATACCAGACAGTAGATTAACCTTCAACAACACCGATGTTAATTATGGTCATTGTTCACATCCATTGTGTATCGGTATATTCGAAGGTTCCTGTGTATCAGGTTTTCAACATCAACTCCCATGCCCTGTAGTGGTGTAAAAACAAATCCATTCTTTTCGAAAATCAAGCCTTTATTCGGGCCATCCACTAAATTATATATTCTATTCTTCTTTACATGTGTGCTCCCACTTGTACAAATAGAATTCATTCCATGTCAAAGCAAGATCTAATAGAGCACAACACAGAAGCCTCGGAGTTAGTGGCACGCGACCCTTGAGATGAAATTGAGTTATCAGCCAGAAACGAGCAAGAATGGACTTCACAATGCCAGGGCAGAGAAGGAACGGACAGCCCCATCTCAAGAGCCGATACACAGCAGATTGAATATTATGCAACTATGCAGCATGTGCCTGCAGGCATTGTATAGAAAATGCTGCTTGCATTTCTGCGATATCTGTGTAATCAATGAATGTAGCACACATTCCATGACAAAATTCTCTCACTGGGGAAGAAAACAAGAGTTAATGAAAATCCCAATTCACAACAAACACATTGATCCACTGTGGGCTTGTGTGGCTAACCCTGACTTTCCAGTGTCAAATCACACATCGATGCAAAACTTCCATTCAAATAAATAATTACAAATGTGTGCTTGTGGCATGCTTTATCGCCCACCTTTTGTTTTCAAACACCCCACTTGCAATTACAGAGCAAAACTACATTTTCATCATTTTGCAATATGTAGTTTGAGGATGGTGTAGATGAGGTTAGTGGGCTAGGGGGGAAGAGGAAATAAGACGCAGGAGGAGGGGGGAATGAGATGCAAGGGCAGGGACTCGGAGTTTGGAGGAAGTGCCACACGGAAAATGCAAATTGGTTTAGTCTGTAACAATAACAGTGGAGATGCGCTATCAATAAAACCAACACTATTTGTATATTCAATGTCATCAATCATGTTATCATCTCCAAGTATAACTTCAAAATGTATTGTTAAAAGTTCTTCCTCATTAGATAGAAGGAAAATAGTTTCCATGTTCAAAAAAACATACGGCCACATTTATCTACACGTAGCTGTGTGGTGGACATTGTAGATTCCCAATGCAGGCGATAGTTTATGCATAGAAAACCACTGCTGATGCCACAATGGTACTCATTTTAACAGCCACTGACAAATGATATACCGAGGTCACCCTTGACTCGTATTTTAATTCCAGCCATTATTCAATCAAACAAATCCGACATCCAATGAGTATACGATCTGATCCCCAACGGACCACATCAATTCTATGCACAGACTGGTCCGATTACGAATAATACAACCCTGAAAAAAACACAATAAAATGCAACCCGACTGTCTACATCGTAACAAACGTCCTCTTTGAGGCATGGCTCGACTGTTCGAGAAGTGTCATTAAAAAGCACCTAATTTGACCCACAAGCAATTAAGCAAAAGCCCAAGTCATTGGATTGCATTCTAAAACAACCAAGAAGCGAGAGCAACATCCCCCCCCCCGCCTCCCGGTTGCAAGTGAGTGATGAATACGAAAGCACCTGTAGAAGGGGTAATTTCAGACAGGGGCCCAAATGGGCAATAGGTCAAATAACAAGTGCAGTTTGGCAAATGGGAAACATATGAGCCTGTTTCGCCCCAAACGCTACCTTCCGGCCCCCAGGCAACAGCCACACTTAAAGAATTCTAATTCCAACCAGTCATCAAAATTTACGGGGAACTACAGGCGGTGGTACCTGCCTGGAAAATGAATCACACGATGAGCCATTCCTTCACCTAATATATCTCGTGTTCCTCGTTCACGCTGCCCTCTGCAGCTAAATAAATAAGCACACCTTATGAACTGAAAAAACGTGGTGGTGTGCGGGCATGGGTTTCATAGTAGAATGGTTGCTCTGGAGAAAATGTAATAAATCTATGCAACAAACATTTGTAAAGTAATGTAAATGTATATTTAGCATAATATAAACAATGTGATCATGCAACCTAATGCTACTCGTGAGGTGTGCAAATGTGTTTAAAATGTCATTGCCATCAAGTGCCTAGGCTCTATAAAATGCCGTTTTAGGAGGCAGCGCCACTGATCAATAAGTTACTGTAGAAATAAAATTCGAATGAAAGAAAATGATGTTGCCTAATGAGTAGCAATATTTATTCGAGGTCCGTTTTATTCTGCAATAATTGCATATGCTAATAAACGTATTTATCTTATACAAGTGAATATAACCTAACATTATTTAAAACAAAGCAAGAGATTTGACTCTTCTTTTTAACCAGCAACCCCTTAACGATTTTTAGAGAGCTACAACCCACTTTAAAAAATAACGTTGCATGCACATTGTTACCAGAGAGAAAAACGTTCACTGAAATTACGTACTATACACATCGCAAACGTGACAATAAATACTACATCACTTTGTGATGAAAACCAAAAACATCTGTCCACTATAAACAAAAACTCCACAACACCAAGCAGCAAAACAGCAACTCTTTCCATGCTATGACAATATACAGGAAGAAAACTCTTACAAGTCAAACAAAAATCTATATTTTTTACAAACCTATCGTGCACATAAGGAATGGGTCATAAAATCCTTGAGACTGCATACAATCCATCCGGCCAAAATAAAAGCTTCTTTAGCCTAGAGCTACAGCTAAGGATTGCACCTGCTTCCTGTTATGCTTTGCCACATTTCCTATATTTTCTCCGCCAAGTAGCGATAAAATGCTTGTTGAGTAAAGGTGAAAAGGTGTAAAAAAAAATTTTCGAATTTTAGATTCACAAGGCAGGACATGCACCAAAGAAAATCATAAAGGTTGTCAAATTTGGTGGTGTACCGGTTTCAAGTCTGGTGTGGTCCACTTGAAAACTTTGCATATATAGAGCAAAAGAATTTAGATTTGGTACATGCCTGCTGTTCCTTTGTGACCATCACTGGCAAAATCAACATGTAGGCTACATAAGTACATGTGAACACGTTCGAATTGCTGGCACTCAGACATCCAAAATTCAATGCCCAAGGCTTTTATTTGTGAGCTTATAATATATTGTTGAATTCTCTTCATCCTCAATTCTGCAGTATGTTATTACATCTAATATAAACATAAGCTCGTAAGATATTATATGCAGCGATGTCTTGTCCACTTTTCCAGGAAAAGTATCTTTACACATTTCCCCAAGATCAAAATATGACCTTTAATAGCACAGCCGGATGTGGTCAACATAACAAACAATGTACGCGCATGTGGCGATTGAAGGCGGCTTTGAGAAGTGATATTAATTGTACATAACTCTGCACGATACAAAAACATGTTTACATTGTATACAACTGTAGTGAGTTCAACTGTGTCGCAGACGTACTCTTTGCAGGCAACACATTTATTGATACCAACACAAAGGGGTAACTGCCCCTTCACCACATAACAACCTGTGGTGGTGGACCACCAGGCTAACCACACTAATCACACTGGGAGTAGCTACAACGGACAGGACCCCCAGCTTGGGTCCAGGTCCACGTGTTGGTGACTCTTCTAGGACGTAGATTCTTCGGGATGAACAACAGCAGCCGGTCTCTCTCGAGGGCCCGGCTTATATCCTCCGTGGTGAGGCTGGCTCCACCCTTAGCCACGAGCACCTTCGAGAAGCCTCGAGCAGGATCTGGGCCCTGACACGTGACCACGCCTAGCCCCCACCTGGGGGCCCTGTGTCGACTTTACCAGGCACGTGTCCTTCGGGGTCAACCAGAGTGCCATGGCCCTGGGTAAACCCATTTCTATGGCCAGCACTCTCACACCCTATCCTGTAGGGGTCGGCACTGCACGCAGAGCGTGGTGCCATCCAGCACTGTCAATCAGTGCTCACCAAACCCCTCTAGGGCCTGTACTG